TGGTGATGGTGATGGTGATGGTGATGGTGATGGTGATGAGGATGATGATGATGATGCTGAGTATGAAGATGATGGTTATGATCATGATGATTGTTTTCCCCCTCGGCGGGCGTTGCGGCGGATGTAACCGCTGAGAGACTTCGGGCGCGAACGAAGTCGCGTCAACTCTTGCCTTCGCAGGTTGGGCGCCAATGCGCGCATCAAGCAAGCATGCGTCGGGAACAAATGGCGGCGATCGGTCCATCGCAGCCGGGGCCATGCTGCCAAGTCTCCCCCCCCCGAAACGGAACCGGGCGGCCAGCGACAGCACGGGCAGAGGCACGGAGGCACGGGCGGAGACACCAACATGAGTATGATAAGGATGATGAGGATGATGCTGATGATGATGATAACGATGATGATAACGATGATGATGATGATGATGATGATGATGATGATGATGATGATGATGATGATGATGATAACGATGACGATAACGATGATGCTGATGATGATGATTATGATGATGAGACAGAGCGTGATCCACCGCCGCTTTACTGTGGAAAATTGCCAACCTTTTCCTCCGGAACCCGGGGGTCGCCCCCCCCCCCCCCTCCGAAAATCCCCCCCCCCCCTGCTGGAACCCCTCCCCCCCCCCCCCCCCCCCCCCCCCCCCTTCCCCCGGCAAAAACCCCCCCCCCCCTCCCCTAAACCCCCCCACCCCCCCCCCCCCCCCCCTCTCCCGCGCTCGAAAACCGGGGGGTCACTACCGGTTCGAACCCTTCCCCCCCCCCCCCCCCCCCCTCCGGATCCGGAAAACCGGGGGGGCCACTACCGGTTCGAACCCCCCCCCCCCCACCCCCCCCCCCCCCCCCCCCCCCTACTCACCGCCAGCAAACGACTCCCGGTCCCCACCACCGTCCGCATCACATCCCCCACTGGTGTTCCCAGCACCACTGTCCTCACCACCGCTGTCCCCACTGGTTCCACCACCGCCCCTACTGTCCCCACCAGTGGCCCCACCACTGTCGCACGTCCCCGCTGTCCCCAGAACTGTTCCCACCACGGTTCCACTCTCCCCACTGTCTCCACGGCCCCAACCACTGCCGACTATCCCCACTGTCCCCACTGTCCCACTGACTCCTCCGCTGTCCCACTGAGCTGTCCCACTGTTCCCACCACTGTCCCCACTGTCCCCACCACTGTCCCCACTGTACCTCTGTCCCATTGTCCCACCGCCGTCCTCGCCACCGCCTTCACCACTGTCCCCACCACCATTGTACCCTCCACTGTCCCACTGTTTCCACCTCATTCCCATTGTCCCCACACCACTGTCCCCACCACCACCGTCACCACCACTGTCCACTGTCCCCCCCTGTTCCCACCATTGTCCCCACCACTGTCCCCACCACTACCGTCCCCACCACTGTCCCACTGTCCCACTGTCCCCACCACTGTCCCGCTATCCCCTCACCACTGTCCCCACCAACACCGTCCCCACCACTGTCCGCACCCCCACTCGGTTTTCGAGGGGGGGGGGTTCGAACCCGTAGTGACCCCCCCCGGTTTCCGAGGGGGGGGGGGTGGGGAGGGGTTCGAACCGGTAGTGACCCCCCCCCCTTTTCATGATGAGCTGGGGGGGGGGGGGGGAGGGGTTCGAACCGGTAGTGACCCCCCCCGGTTTTCCGGAGGGGGGGGGGGAGGGGTTCGAACCGGTAGTGACCCCCCCCGGTTTTCCGCCAGCAGCGGTAGAACACGCTCTTTCGATGATGATGATGATGATGATGATGATGATGATGATGATGATGATGATGATGATCTTTCGGCGCCACGTGTCTACGATCTGACAAACAGCGCACAAGACGCCCTGCTCTTTTTCGCGACGGCCCTCGCCCTCGCAGAGAGGAGAGATGCAAGAGACTCGGGGCCCCATCCCTTGTGAGCTCTGAGGGCATTGAACGCTGAGGTGGTGAGGACAGGCGCGAACAGTGCAGACTTCAAAGCGACGGTGACCAGGGGGGGGCGAAAGAAGAGCAACACTCGATCTTCGGGCGACCGAGCACAATAATTTCCGAGGAGCAAGCGAGCTCAGCGAGAAACAACGGACAAGACAAATAACGCAAAACGTGATCACCGCCCATGGCACAACAGCCGTAACGGCATACCTACTGGCTTTGATTAAATCGGGCGGAGGTGCGCCAACCCTGACGCGCGGATCTGAAATAAATGAACTACTCAGACGAAAGAAGCCACGCTGCTGGCAAAATTGGAATGCTGGGAAACTCCGTCATAATGCCCAACCTGTACTTGGGGCCAACAACTCCAGAGCCCAGGAATTAATGCGGGATGCACTGGGCAGCTACTCAGAAGGGCCACGTCCTTCAACTCAATGAGGATGTTCTTCTGCAGCGAGGATTCGTCGAGGTCCGAGCGTATCTGCGGGGGGCTCTGGAACCTTTCGAACACGGGGCACAGGGAACACGTGCCGGAATCTAGACCCCAGTCGGCACGTCGGGGAAGAGCCAAGCGGTCGCCTTCGTTGCCGCGGGTTTTGCGCCATCGATCCTCTATTCGTGGGAACGCTTCCGACCTGATGCATACTCGATACATGGCTGGTTGATTGTCCAATTCGACGGGGCGGAACTCGACGGGCAAGCCGATATTGTCGGCGCGAGCTAACACCTCCGCAGGACTGGCCCAGCGAGGTCCAGCAGTAAGAAATGGGTGAGCACCCCGCCCTGCTCGGAGCGCGGCAGGTGGAGCTGGCTGACACTGGACAGGAAAGCTGAGCAGTGCAAACCTAAACGTATTAAATGCATGTATATTCTGCGTGAGCCCCAAGGAAAGACTGCGAACATACTGCAGGCGCTTCTGAAGCTTCCCCAGAGGACCAATTCAGCTTGTCCACGGCCCACCAGAACCAAACTTTATCCCAAGATACTGAGCAGGCGCCCCATGCCGAAAACGAGCCACATGGATGCCCACCTCTTTGAATGTGCCGATGTTAATTCCCATGTCCAAGCCGGCGGGGAAAACGTTAAAGAACTTCTTCGGCGGTGGGCAAACCTCCTTTTAGCAAACCTCCACTTAGTGAAAACTTGTGACGACCTAGGGCCGAACCCGACGGACTTGGACCCGCAAAAATGGCGGCCGCGACGCCCTCTCGCGAACCGAAAACGGCCAATTCCTTAATCGACGCGCGAGGGTAGCTGTCCACCTCCGACTTCTCGCGATTGATCGAAAGTCTCGTCACCCAGGCGGCTTTCATCATGAGACGCACTACCAGTGGGACAGACGACAACCAATCCTGAAGGAGAACTCCCACGTCGTCGGCGAAAACGAACGGCCTGCCAGGATGTGGCCTCAGGACTTTGCGTTTTCTTTCAGATCACGCACCGGCGGATCAGACCATGACGCAAACAAGACACCGCTCATCGGGCAGCCTTGTTCACTCCTTGGAGAATCTGAAACCTGTCAAAAATTTCACCACGAAGCGCAACCTCTGTGACCACATTCTGAGATAATTCACTGATCGCGTCCAACAGATGCCCCGGGCTTCGCGTCGCAGCAGGCGCTCGTCGCGGTCCAGCGACTGGAAGGCAGCTGCGACCTCGAGCGGGAACTGCCCTGCCCGTCGGCAGCTTTGAGACGGCAGAAATCGACCAGAGTGGATTCCATTTTCCTGGATTTCCAGGATATGGTCGAGCATGTCAAATTGTTATGTTTCTTCTGTTGCAACAGAATAAAAAACCAAAGCGGCAGCCATTTTGCGCAGCAGAGACAAGGTACTGAGCCTGAACGGAGAGAGGGTCCGCAGGAGCTACAGCAATAATCGTTTCGTCGCAATTCGATGGCGAAATAAGTCGAGCGGCATCGGCGGCGCGAGAGATCTCTGATTCATTATCTCCTCCACCGCCACCTCTATCCTCCTTGGGAATGAGTGCAGCATGTGCGTTAGCGAACCCATCCTTCGTGTCCCTGCAGTCGAGCGTGGAGAAGAGGAGATCGAATGCGCAATCGTGACACAACTCGCCTCCAGCCTTCCACGCAGCATATCCAATGCTGGTGGGGTCCGGGGCCGGTCCGCGCTTGCCCCGCAACGGACCAGCGATCTCAAACTTGAACAAACCCCATTTCTTCGCAGGCGTCACCTGCTGCACTTCCTGGAAAAGCCAGTGCTTGCCCTGTTCGCATTGTGGACCTCGGGGCCTCTCGGCGCGGGCCCCCCCGCATTGGGCGGCGAGATTTTCGGCGCTGTTGGCCGGGGGCCCAGACGGAGCGCCCCTGGGATCGGGCGCTCGGGCGACGGGGGGGGGCGACGACGCTTGGGCGACCGCGGCCTGGAAAGATCACGGAATCGCGCCGGCCTGGGATCGGCGCGCCAGGCCGAAGGGTTCTCGGCCAAGAAATCGCCGGGCTCAGCACGCATGATGTCACTGCGTAAGCCTTGCAATTACTGGCAGGCCTGAATTTCCGAGAAGCCCCCGCCGCCACCATCGCAGCGCAGACGCGGAACAGGCAGAGATTGCAAGCGCCTGCGCACTAGCCGTCGATCAGGGCGCCAGGCACCACGCGTAAACTTTAAGCGTGCTGCTGCCTTTTGTCTGTCTGCGACGGGGCCGCTGCGCGAAATCCACCCCGCGAGGCAGCCCCGCGACAGCATGCGCGCGTTGCTTGATTTCCAGAACGCGCGTCCGCGCGTCCGGAGAAAGGCCGGCCCCCTACGCTATTCCGTTCAAGAGAACTCGAATTCGGGCGGGTAAAGACCCATTTAGGCGGCCCCCGCGCGGCACTTCAATTGGGGGTGAACTGATTGTTAAGAGGCGCGCGGCTCGACGGTCCACCGGGGTCGCGGGCTAGGCCAGTCGCAGAACTGCAGGCGCTCAAATCCAGAAGAACCGCGCAAAGTAAACTAATGCACAATCTAGCAAGACGACCAATTTGTAGAACAGCTTCGCGGGTTCGCACCCATGCATATAAGCGCGCCGGTTGATTTCAGCAACAAACATCAAATAAATCATCTAGCCTTGCTGCCGCATATACATCTGGAACTTCTTCAGGGTCCGCGGCAAAACCTCTGCGCGCCATGCCCCGGGAAATCCCAATCGCCCCGCCAAGCAAGCCGACGCCGAGTTGAGGCCCAGGGTATGCCTGCACATGTTCTGAAGAAGTTCAACATTGAGACAATGGTTCCTCTGCGGCTCGATGAGCTCTGTCAACCGCTGGAGGCTGCCAGCAGGACCGCGAGACGCAATCGATAGCACTCGGCCTCGATCAACCACCAGGCGACTGGACACGTCATCGACTGAGCAGCCGGGCTTCCCCGAAAAGAGATGAGCACGCCACCGGCATTCGAGGGGGAAAAAGAGCCGAAGCGCAGAAAGTCGTGGAACTCGCGCTCGGGAATCGACAGATCCGAATCAGTTCCGTGAGCTTCCTGCCAGAATGCAACAACATTCGTCTGATGCAACTTCCGAGCTTCCCTCTGGGCACGCCTGCGTCTGACGCCACCCCGAAAAAAAAGGCCCGTGAATTCCGCGCGGCGGGATTGCGCCATCGCAGAAACAGACCTGGCCGCGGGCATTCCGGCCCGCGCTGCACGGACGAGGGCAATGAGGAGGAGGCGGAACAGGGCGGGGAGGAGGAGACCCTCCGCCGTTTCGGCTGCCTTGCAGCCGCCCGCGCTTCGGAGGCGGCTTCGAGCGACACGGCGCCGTGATGCAATGTGAATTCGCGTTCGTCCTTTCGAGCAACCGCGCAGCATGGCGAACCGGCGCGATGACTGGATAGGGGTCCTCCGATCAGCTCAGGAATCCCCTCTGCGATCGCCTTTGGGATGCCCTGCTCGTTGAAGGCCCCGTGCTGCGGCTCGAGCGCGAGCGCCCCGTCTGGCCAACCGGCGCACTTGGCCAGCTCGAGCGGCTCGGCTCGTCCTCGAAGATGTAACGCGCACCTTAGAATGGAACGCATTCAATCTTCATCTCGGCCTTCCAGGCGTTCTAGTTTGTCAGGGCATTCTTGCAGATCGTCCAGCACTTGCTCAGGGCGTAGCTTCTCCGTCGCACGTCGATCGGAAGATCGCGCCCCGTTCGAAGGCTGTGGATGACCTGCGACCTTGGGTCTCGCAACTTCGGTAGGGCCACGCGGAACTGGTCGTAGAATTTGCTGGCGTCTTGCTCAGGCTCGATTTTGTTCCACTACGCGGTCTGCGCGTTCCTCGCCCAGCCTTGGCAAATATCTCGATAAGAAATTGGCATGTGGGATTTCACCTCGGCGAGCTGCGCGCCAGATCGGGACTGGGGCAGCTTCCATGGGAACCCTCGCGCCCAGATCATGCAACGATCCGCAGCATTCCCGCCGCCGTCAATCAGGATAGGACCGCCGCCAGGCAAGCGCGCTGGCTTGCGCGCGGGGGCGCCGTCGAAAAAAACGAACCGAAGCAGCCGTAGCCGCCGCCGATGCTGCTGCCTGCGCCGCCTGCAACTCCGACACCTGCCTCCCCATGGCATCGATATTCTTGACGAGCGGGGTGGCGCAGGTGGGCAGCTGAGCACCTCCCTCCCCCATGTATTCGTCGCGCGGGCCCCCCATGCACTCATGCGACTGCGGTCTACAAGAACACGGATCTGCGACTCAAGCTTAGCAAACGTCTCGTTCGTCTTAACCCCTGAAGCGTTCATCAGCTGCTTAAGCTTGTGCGCGGAGAGTTGCGTTGCGGAGACTGCCTGCGTGAGCTTCTCCATGGCCATTGACGCGTCCGTGGCTTGCGTGGAATGTGTCTCAACCTGGCCTTTCTGCAGACGGTCGAGGCTCTCCACCGCGGCAGACATCGCGACTGCGGAGGGCAGAAGTTGCTCGCGAGCGATCAGCCCGAGAACCTGCCGCGTGGTCTCCGACAGGGGTCGCGGGTGAAAAGGGGCGGCGCGCCTAAGCCGACTGGTCCGCCCCGTCGGCTGCGACCGAGGTTCTTGCCTGCGGGTGCACTTTGGAACGTTGAGCCAAAATGGCTACGGCTGATGGCGAGGCTGATACTGTTGATGCTGATGATAATGACGATGATGGTGATGATGACGATGACGACGGTGCTCCCTTCAGCGGCGGGCAGCGGTGCTCCTAGCCAGCAGGGCTGGAATCCCAGTCGAGCGCGCGGAGATCAGGCGGGCCCTGGCGTCGGTGGCACCCTGAGCTGATGCGCTCGAGACCGTTGCCGAAGCTCCCAAACTGCCGAAGGGATACGCGCATGCTGATGCAACTGGGTTGTTCAACATCTTCATCACATGTTATCAAACGTGCTTCGCGCGCGAGCATGCCGAAATCGTTCGAACGCCCTTGCGCGCGCGCTGCTGCGATAATCATTAAAAACAAAAGAAAAAGATGTGCACGCGCGCGCGTCGTCGCGCGCGCATGCCGAAATCCGTCAACAACTTCCGGTACCGCAACGACTGCAAAACAGGATGTCTAAACAACATGCAAAAACATTGGTTTCGCAACGCCAGTATGTTTAAAAAGCATGCGTTCGCGCTCTTGCGAAATCTTCAGCGCAGCCATAGACTTTCAACAATTTTATGGACAACTGACAAACGTGTCTCTCGCGCCGCAAGCCGAAATCATTCGCGCGCCCCTGCGCGCGTGTTGGGGGGACATGACCCGTGTCAAATAAGACAATGCGGGCCACTCTCGCGCGTGGGCCGCGCGCGCATGTCAAACTATTTCCAAAACGTTCATGACCGACGCGAGGACGTCGTCATCGTCGTCGGCGTGATCAGCATCAGCGCCGTCACTGGCCGCGCCGTCGTCGTTGTCATCATCGTCGCCAGCATCGTTATTATCATCATTGTGTCTACTGTTGTCGACGTTGCCAGGGTACCACGACCGCCCAAGCCGCCGACTCGCACTGAAGTGCCCGCTGGGATGTGCCCAGCGGCCGCGTCGGCCGCGCCAAACTAGTTGGCCGCTGCGCGCGCGTGCTTGGGTCGGCGCGGCCGCAGAGATGCAGGAGCCAACGCCAAGCACTCATCGCAATCGCCGCCGCATGGGTTTTGCAAACCAAGTTGCGGGTGGGTGGTGGGATGTATGCAAGAGCATGGGACGTGTCAGCCCGTTTGTCAAAACCGATTGCACCACGTATAATCCAGCGCGTAGGTTGCAAGACAGCGCTGCTTGGGGTCAGCGCCGGCTAACACCGTATACGCAACAAACAGAATTGATCGTTTTCAAACACGTCGCGGGTCGCTCTTTTAACACATGATCGAATAGCTGCCTCTTTGGATAACCGATTGCAACACGACGTTAGCTTAACTTGCGGAGCGCTTCCCTAACACACCTCGTGGCATTGCAGAAAGCGCTGAACAAATACCCTTTTAGAACTCGCAGCCTTTGTAAACGGCGAACTTACTGCCCCTTTTGAAGCCCTGCGAAAAAAAGGGCTCCATACACTTCCCTGTTCGAAGCCTCCTTTGAAGTGTGCACTTCAAAAGTGTATCAAACAGTGCCCATGCCCTCTCTACGGGACTCATGTGAAACGGGCCATCCGAAAGGACAGCATATAATCAATATTCTAAAACACTTCCTCATCGGATCTTGAACCCATCCAGATCATCCTCATCCTCAACACCGTCACCATCATCGACACCACCACCATCATCATCATCATCATCATCATCATCATCATCATCATCATCATCATCATTATCAACATCATCACCATCATCATCACGAGCTCTCTCAAATCTGTCCACGGGGCTCTCAAGAATCCCTCCTGGTCAATTGTTCGAGCCGCGTCCCGCCGTGGCGACGCGAATTTCCTGGCACGCCACCTAATTGTTTCGACCCGGGGATCCCAACACGTGCAACTCATTCCCTGACAGGTGCCACGTGCGCGACTGAGTGTGAAAGAATCTTGGCTTGCTACATCACGGTCGTCCTGGGACTCCGACCGGGAAGAAGCCGGAAGTGCACAAAGAGCGCCTCGCCCGTGAACCTTCCGCAGTGTGATCGCGAATTGGCACGCGCACCACCCTCTGGCGCCCGTGCTGAATGAAACGAGCGCCTAGCTCGACACGTCCTCACAGCCTGCTCTGCAAACAAAAGCATCGAGGCTCCCAGCGGGCGCCTCGACCGAGACACCACCGCAATCAGGCCGCGAACGGACCCGTGCACCACCATCTGGCGGCTCCCTTAGGAGGAGGAGGACCAGTGTAAAACCAAGAATCGTCAACGATGTTGGAATTAACCCTCCCTCCAAGTTCCCTCTTCGTAGACCCCACACCGGTTGATTTCCATTGAGGGAACTAACTGCCTCGTTGGCAGACAACCGTTTGAAGATCCGTAAACGTGCCAATACATTGTTCTCGGGATTTCAATGCCACGTATCAACCTGACTCCTGCGTCTTGACGATCCGGAATCGTGCCAGCGCGCCGTGTTTGGGACGTCAACACCGCGAATCAAAATAACTGTCGCACCCGCATAATCCTGAATCCATTCACAACACGATCTTCTGGTACGCTGATGATGGGAATCCGTGGAACTCTTGTACACATTAAAAACAAATGAGCGCGGCGCTAAGGCGAGAGCCACATTTTGAAAAGGTACCGCCCTCAATCCGTGAAGATCTTGCAAATCTTGAAAAATGTGCACGTCGCGAATGCGAGAGCCACATTTTGAAAACAACCCGCCCTCAATGTGTGAAACCGTTCTCGCCTTTTTAGCTTCAGAGTCCTAGATGGTGAGGAAGTCTCGGGCGAAACGCCCGGCCCGCCCGAATAACTGGCCTCGGGGTGCGACAGGGAGGAGTTATCTATAAGGAGAAGGAATGGAGGAGGAGGAGGAGGAGGAGGAGGAGGAGGAGGAGGAGGAGGAGGGAGGAGGAGGAGGAGGAGGAGGAGGAGCTCGAGACATCCCCACAATCTGGCACGAAAGCAGAGGGATCGGGGGCTCCAGCCGCGCGCCTCACTCGAGACATCCGCAGCGCGATCCGGCTGCGCAGGGGCACGTGCCGCACCTCCTGGCGACTCCTCCGCGGGGTGCGGAGCCAAGCGCCACGCCTGAGCGATCCTCACAGTCTGCTCGGTGCTACGACAAGACCCCAATCGCCTCGCGGGAGGCATCCCCACAAACTGCTCGGAACGCAGAGGAGGGGCTCCAAAGGGGCGCCACGCTTGAGAAGCCCCCGCAATCGGGCCGCGAAGGGGCCCGTGAACCACACCCTGGCGGCCCCCTCTTGGCGTGCTAAAAGAAGCGCGTCGCTTGAGACATCCCTACACGTTGCCATGAAAACAAAGGCCGGGGGCACCAAACGGGCGCCTCGCTCGAGACATCCCCGCAATCTGGTTGCGAACGGGCCCGTGCAACACCCCTGGTGGCTCCTTCGTGGGGTGCCAATGTCCCATGCCTGCTACATCACGACACATTCTGAGCGTCAGTGCTCTTAGCGTGAGAGGTATGTGTAAGATTATGAATCTGAGTTGGCTGGGTATGAGGGCATCCGAGTGTGAGTAGTGTGTGCGTGAGTAAGCCTGCGTATGCGTGAGTCTGAGTGTCAGTGGAGATGTGTTTGTTTGTGGTCTGAGTGTGTGTGTGTGTGTGTGTGGTCTGAGTGTGTGTGTGTGGTCTGAATGTGGGTAGCCTGAGCATGAATGAGTCTGGGTGTGACTGAGTCTGAGTGTGGGTGAGTCTGGCTGTGACTGGATCTGCATATGAGTGAGAGACTGAACATGCATGGGCCTTACAGTGAGCGTCTGAGTGAGCCTGAGCGTGCGAGCGCACATGAGGGACGAAGGGGGCGGGAGGTGAGTGAGGCGGAAGCGTCACACCAATAATAATGATAATCGTAATAAGAATGCTAAGAATACTAATAACAATAGTAATAATAATAAGAAGAATAATAATAATGAAAATAATAATCCCCGCGCTTAGGATATGGAGAGCGAGAAGCGACGACGACGCCGACAACGCCATCGTGCCAGGAAGGCGCGCCCCGCCCCGCGGGCGGCGACGCGCGACCTCATCCTGCCCCGCAGCAGCCTCACCACCTCGAGGGTTGCCTGGACGTCGACCCGCAGTGGCTCGCCCATCCTCGCCCGAGGGGTCTGGGGGTGCGAGTTCCTAGTAGGGTCCTCCTCCTCCTCCTCCTCCTCCACCTCCTCCTCCACCTCCTCCTCCTCCTCCTGCTCCTCCTCCTGCTCCTCCTCCTGCTCCTCCTCCTGCTCCTCCTCCTCCTCCTCCTCCTCCTCCTCCTCCTCCTCCTGCTCCTCCTCCTGCTCCTCCTCCTCCTCCTCCTCCTCCTCCTCCTCCTCCTCCTGGCTATCGAGGGGAGGGGGGAGACGGGTGCTCTTTTCGGGCCCCTGAGGGCCCCTCCAGGGGCCCCAGAGGGCCCCTTCTCGGCAGCCCACGCTGCCCACCCTGCGCATCGCCCCCCCCCCCCCCCCCTTTACGCGACCTCCGAGGGTCGTCGGCGACGCCAGCTTCCGGGGTGGTCTTCGCTTCGCAGGTTCTGGCTGCAATTCAAGGGGTTCTCGGCGCCACGGCTGCACGCGGCCGGGACAGCTGGCCAGGACGAACCCCCCGGGGAGCGTCCCTGGAAGAGGTTTTGGGCGGGCTTTGAATGAGTCCAGGGAAGGTCCTCGCGAAGTCATTTTCGTCGTCGTTGACGTCGTCGATCGTCGTGGACTGATCGAGGGTGATTCAATATTTCCCCCAATGTCGGCCTGCGGGGACTGCTTTCGGGCCCATGCTGCAGGGCTATCATCTGGGACGAAGAACTGTCCCCTGGAGAAGGGCCGAGAATTCTGGGGCGCGTCGACGGCGTCATCGAGGAAAGTCAGTCGAGATTCGACGTTCAACGTTCGAGGATCGAGATTTGATCGAGATTTGAAGGTCTTCTGTGGACCTCCTGGGGCGGCCTCGTGGGCACGGCTGGATATGCCTCGAAATCCGTGCCAGAACGTATCCGAGGAGAGGTCCGTGGTTCGTCGTCGTCGCTGTCGAATCGAAGAGTGTATGCATTTTATGGCAACCCTTGGGCCTCTGCGGAGGCCTCTGGACTCTGGACCTCTGGGGAAATCGGGAGACCTCCGAAAACCTCCAGAAAGACGCACGAAAAACGCCCCACATGAGTTTTCCGCAGCGCTCGGCCCCTGGGAGCTGTTCCCAAGCCGCGGGACAATCAAAGAACAACTCAGGATGAAACGCTCGTCCCAAGGAAGGGTGGACAGCCCTGGAACCCACGGATTAAAAAATTATCCTGGCGAAGGACCCAACCATATGCAGTTGTGAGTATCGCAATTTGGAGTATCTTCTTCGGTGGCGCTCCCTATGGGGCCACGAACCGCATGAGGGGTGCGCCGAAATGTGGCGGGGTACACAACGCAAAGGAATACGATTGATCTGATTACGAGAGAAAGAACGCGGGTGAGTCAGAGCGCGAGGGAATCTGAGTATGAATGGGTCTGCGCGCGAGTGAATATATTTGCATGAATGCGATCATGGAACCGCCTAGTGTAAGTGTCGAGCATGCCTGTCCGAACACACGTGACACTGGGCGTGGCCGCCGCAGGCAGCTTCCGCGGGAACCCCGACGGCAGCGTCCGCACGTCGCGACGCCCATGTCGGCACGCCTCTTGCGAGGATCGCGCCCGCTTTCGGCTCTTCTTTTCCTTCCTCTTTGCCCGCGCACTCCAAAATCCAAGGCTGCGGGCGCAGCGCAGCGCGGAGTCCCCGCGACGCGCGCTGGTCGCCCCGGGCGGGGTCCCAGCGACGCGCGCGGGTCGTCCGCTGCGCGAAGCAGAGAGAGCTGACTAGCTAACTGGCTGGCTGATAGCGGGCCAGTCTCTGACCGCTGGGCAGAGCGACGACGGGCGAACGAGGCGCCGGGCCCCCCGCAGCACGGAGTTCCCGCGACGCGCGCTGGTCGCCCCGAGAGGGTCCCAGCGACGCGCGCGGGTCGTCCGCGGCGCGAGGCCAAACAATTAGTCGGGCAGTCGAGAGAAGGCGCGGCTCGGGGGAGACGCTCCTCAGGTCAGGCCTCGCGGATGAACTCGGTGAAGCCGAGCACCCTGGCGAGGGCCGTCGCTTCCCTCCTGCACCGCTTCGTGCGCGCCGCAAACTGCTCCAGCTGCTTCCGCAAGCCCTGCGGCGGCCCTGCCAGGAAGAACTCGATGCGCGGCGCCCGCATGAGCAGGAGGTCCTCGTGGCGCGTGGCGCGCGAGAGCAGCACGTAGAGCTCCAGCCACCAGTCGTCGTCCTCCTTCTTGCCGTTCCCTACCTCGTGGCGGCCGCAATCCAGGATCACGCCTGGGCGACGTCGACCGAGGGAGCAGCGCGCCGGGCAGCCGACGGCCCAGGGCGAGAGTCCACAGGACCGAGAGATGGTCTGGCCGCGGACTGCTCGCGCCCCGGAGGTCTGGCCGCCCCCGGAGCGCCGTTCCCCCGCCCCGTCGCCTTCGCGCATGGTGCGCCCCTGGCACGCCACCGTGGTGATGACCCTGCCGTGCGAGAAATGCGGGGGGTGTGCCGAAATGGGTGGGGGTGACGCATGCGGGCGGCGGCACTGGGCCTTCGGTGGAGCTCCCTATGGAGCCACGAAGCGTGTGAGGGGTGTGCCGAAATGGGTGTGGGGACGCATGCGGCCGCGGGCACTGGGGCCTTCGGTGGAGCTCCCTATGGAGCCACGAAACGTGTGAGGGGTGTGCCGAAATGGGTGTGGGGGACGCATGCGGCCGCGGGCACTGGGGCCTTCGGTGGAGCTCCCTATGGAGCCACGAAACGTGTGAGGGGTGTGCCGAAATGGGTGTGGGGGACGCATGCGGCCGCGGGCACTGGGGCCTTCGGTGGAGCTCCCTATGGAGCCACGAAACGTGTGAGGGGTGTGCCGAAATGGGTGTGGGGGACGCATGCGGCCGCGGGCACTGGGGCCTTCGGTGGAGCTCCCTATGGAGCCACGAAACGTGTGAGGGGTGTGCCGAAATGGGTGTGGGGGACGCATGCGGCCGCGGGCACTGGGGCCTTCGGTGGAGCTCCCTATGGAGCCACGAAACGTGTGAGGGGTGTGCCGAAATGGGTGTGGGGGACGCATGCGGCCGCGGGCACTGGGGCCTTCGGTGGAGCTCCCTATGGAGCCACGAAACGTGTGAGGGGTGTGCCGAAATGGGTGTGGGGGACGCATGCGGCCGCGGGCACTGGGGCCTTCGGTGGAGCTCCCTATGGAGCCACGAAACGTGTGAGGGGTGTGCCGAAATGGGTGTGGGGGACGCATGCGGCCGCGGGCACTGGGGCCTTCGGTGGAGCTCCCTATGGAGCCACGAAACGTGTGAGGGGTGTGCCGAAATGGGTGTGGGGGACGCATGCGGCCGCGGGCACTGGGGCCTTCGGTGGAGCTCCCTATGGAGCCACGAAACGTGTGAGGGGTGTGCCGAAATGGGTGTGGGGGACGCATGCGGCCGCGGGCACTGGGGCCTTCGGTGGAGCTCCCTATGGAGCCACGAAACGTGTGAGGGGTGTGCCGAAATGGGTGTGGGGGACGCATGCGGCCGCGGGCACTGGGGCCTTCGGTGGAGCTCCCTATGGAGCCACGAACGTGTGAGGGGTGTGCCGAAATGGGTGTGGGGACGCATGCGGCCGCGGGCACTGGGGCCTTCGGTGGAGCTCCCTATGGAGCCACGAAACGTGTGAGGGGTGTGCCGAAATGGGTGTGGGGACGCATGCGGCCGCGGGCACTGGGGCCTTCGGTGGAGCTCCCTATGGAGCCACGAAACGTGTGAGGGGTGTGCCGAAATGGGTGTGGGGGACGCATGCGGCCGCGGGCACTGGGGCCTTCGGTGGAGCTCCCTATGGAGCCACGAAACGTGTGAGGGGTGTGCCGAAATGGGTGTGGGGGACGCATGCGGCCGCGGGCACTGGGGCCTTCGGTGGAGCTCCCTATGGAGCCACGAAACGTGTGAGGGGTGTGCCGAAATGGGTGTTGATGATGATGATGATGGGAGGGGGGAGGAGGCAGCGGGAGGAAGGAAGGAGGGAGAACGCGGGGCACCGTCTCTTCAAAACGAGGACCCAACACCACAGGATGGTTGGGAAAAACAAGTCGTCGGTCTGGGGAAGAGAATAAGGGACACGGCCGGAAGAGGACGGAGAAGTGGAGGAAGTAGGGAAAAGCGAGAACTAGGACGAAGGACGAGGGCTGAGGAAGAGTAGAGAAGGAAGAGGATGACGAAGAAGGTTGATTACGGGAAGTGTGGGAGGGGGAGGCAGACCAGGTCGAGGATGATATTGATGACCCTGATGAATACGGCCATGGTCCTGCTCTTAGCATGTATGTGATGTCGAGCCCTGCGAGAAAGAAGCCGGCGACACGCTAAGCAGCGCAGGGGCGCAGACGCGAAGCAGCGTCGGGCGAGAAACAGCCCCTCCGATGCACACGCCGAGTGCCAGCCGCGCCGGCTGCGCGCTAAAGTGCGGAGCGCTCTTGGCGTGCATCCTGCGTGTAAGCCTCAGCCACACGCTGAGAGCAGGAGGAGGGGAGGGAGGAGGAGGAGGAGGAGGAGGAGGAGGAGGAGGAGGAGGAGGAGGAGGAGGAGGAGGAGGAGGAGGAGGAGGAGGAGGACCGCGGCCGTGGGGTTCGTGGAGGCAGGTGCGGAGGCCTGGCGGAGGGGCGAGGGGCGCAGAGCGGAGGGGCGCCTCGGAAGCGAAGGGGGGGGGGGGCAGCAGCCAGCAACACTGAAGGGGCCCCAGGACACACAAATAAATACACACAAATAAAAAGATTCCCCATATTTTCCCATATTTTTTGAGCTTTTGTCTTCCCGCCCAATTCCCATATTTTCCCATATTTTCTTGGGGAATCGAAGATTAATTGTGTCTGTGTGTTTCTTTTCCTCCTGACAGACGAGCCGACGCCGTCGTCGGTGCTCCGTGCTGGGTGTCGCTGCCGGCGCAGCCGCGGCCGCAGCCGCGCCAGGCGAGAAGGGTGGCACGCTGCGCTGCGCGTGCGCGTGCCCCTCCTCCTCCTCTTCCTGGCCTCCTCCTCCTCTCCTGGCCTCCTCCTCCTCCTCCTCCACCTCCTCCTCCTCCTGGCCTTCTCC